GAGAGGCAGCTGTCTAGGGCAGCAGATGGTGAGGGATATGAATTGATCAGTATACACAAGTAAATCTTAGTGGGTAAATACAGCCAAAAAAGAGGAGGAGGAGAGAAAGCATGTATAAATCCATAGGATAGGCAAACTCCAGATGTTTTGGGACTACAACTCCCATCACCCCTAACCACTGGTCCTGTTAGCTAGGGATGATGGGAGTTGTAGTCCCAAAACACCCGGAGGGCTGAATTTGCCTATGCCTGGGATATACCGTGCCTTCTAGCAAATATTCAGTTAGTGTCCTGCCTCAGTTCTTTGGGTTTGAGGAACTCATATGTTGAGTTGAGTCCTTTGGAAAGAAGAAGCAGGTGAGCAGTAGTGTAGATTATGTTTGGTCTACCTACCAATCTGGAACAAAATTCTTCTTTAAAGCCAATTCTGTGCTTAATCAGTGGTACTAGGAATATTGTCTGAGTTTGTGGCGGCGGTGGGCAGCATTTGCCTGCTCCATCTCAGGTAGAACTAAATAATGTCAGGCTGGTCCCTCAGTGCAGCTGAGCTGGATAAGACCACCACATTTGGCCACTGACTGGTGAAAGCCACTGTGTGTCTATGACCCCTTAATACTGAGGTGAGGTAGCCTAGCACACTGTGCACTATTATCAGTTTGTCCCAGGGAGTGCTGGGCACTCTTCCTTATTCTTGGTGTGTGCAGTTTGGGAAATGAGTCGTAATGAGGTGCTGGTTGGATTGGATTATCCGCAGCACCAGTGGCAGGTCCACATTGCCTCTGACACATAATGAATTGAGCAGGTCTTACCTCCCTGGAGGTGGATTTTGCCACCAGTTCCTGGTATGTACCACTGACCCATTTATCAGCCCTGTCCTGGTAGCGGGCCCCTTTGTGCCCCTTCATTAACCCTGCACAAGACATTCCCCCCAGCTAATTATCCCCCTGCAGCCTTTCATCCTAGGCATCTATTGCAGACTGATGATTCCATATGTGCTGGTCCATTGCTGAGTGACATCATGGTGACAGGTTCAACTGTCGGGATATCTCAGTAGGCTGGGGACCTTCTTTTTGCTACTGCAGCAGCATGTGAAGTCTGGGTATACACCTGTGTGTGCAGCTCCTTTGTTGCTGTTGTTGTTTAGTCATGTCCGACTCTTTGTGACCCCATGAACCAGAGCATGCCAGGCACTCCTGTCTTCCACTGCCTCCCGCAGTTTGGTCAAACTCATGTTGGTTGCTTTGAAAACACTGTGCAACCATCTCATCCTCTGTCGTCCCTTCTCCTTGTGCCCTCAATCTTTCCCAACATCAGGGTCTTTTCCAGGGAGTCTTCTCTTCTCATGAGGTGGCCAAAGTACTGGAGCCTCAGCTTCACAATCTGTCCTTCCAGTGAGCACTCAGGGCTGATTTCCTTCAGAATGGAGAGGTTTGATCTTCTTGCAGCCCATGGGACTCTCAAGAGTCTCCTCCAACACCATAATTCAAAAGCATCAATTCTTCGGCGATCAGCTCCTTTATCGGGGTGCATTAAGCATCCCATCTCCCCCCATTCTGCCTCCCAAAGGTTTTGAGAAAGAAGACCCAGAGATGCAGTATTGTCTCCCTGTGCTGCCGTTGCTTAGCAACACTAGCCTGCTCCCATCTGCATAACCAAAGTCAACAACAGGCAGGTTCTGCAGATGCAAGTGATTAATCTAAAAACTGGGACTTTGGCAGGCCTCATGGTTATCTGGAAGCCCACAAAGAGCTTAACCAAAGCAATCCTTTTTCTTAATGCGCTAGCTTATTGTGTTGGACAGGCAGACACAATGGGTAAATGAAGTTCTCTTACATGGATCTGAATTGGAACTGTTCTGGACCATGCTTCAGGTGCCAGAGAAGATAATAACAGCATTTATGTAGCACTTAGTAGTTTTTACAGCAAACCAGTAACATAGGTATTATTATCCCTGGGTGTCTGAGGCCCATATAGAAATTCAAGAATGTGAGTGACTGCAATTCACAACTGAATTGTTCCATAGGCCATGCTGTATATATCTAATGCTTGCTGTTAAAACAGCACATGAAAATGTTTGCACATCTGTATTCATATGCACCACACATTAAGTGATGGGCATAGAGCCATAGGGCTCAATGTTCCATTATTTCCTGCATCTCTCACTCACAACTGGACCCTGCAGCTCATGTCATAGAATCATGGAATTGTAATGTTGGAAGGGACCCCAAGGGTCATCTAATCCACCCCCTGCAATGCAGGAATGTTGCGTCCTGATTCTTCCTTTGGAAAATAGGGGATATGTAAGAATTGGCCCCTTGCTGCTAATATATCCCTTTAACCCAAACTAATCAGTCACTTCCACAAGTTGACTGTGATTTTATTCTATACCGAAAAAGATTTTTTAATCAAAGCTCTCAGTCAAGAAAACCTAAATTCAGACATATGATGCAAATCAGGAAATTTTGCCTGTTTTGTAAATTTTGCCTGAAGCAGTCTGCTACTTATGGAGCTACAGTATATAGGACATTGAATTCCTGACTGTCAACTTGTTAATCTTATTCTGTTTTTCTCATTTCAAGAGACATTACCCCCACAAAATTTCAAGCCTAGAAATAGTCCCGTTTTCAATGATAACAAAAAGAGACAATCTAATTGTGCGCATTTTCTGAATTGCAAAATGCTTATTTTTCATTTGTCCATGGATCAAGGGCTGCCAATCATTTTTAGGACCATGATCACACTCACAAACCAGACAAACTGCAGCACAACTTATTCTATTGCCCACAACAGAATGCCTGTTTAATGTCTAATTTCAGTATGGGAAATGGGGGAGCGGACCCTGTGGGCATCAGATAAGGCCACGGTGGGGAAATGTGTGCCCATGGGCACCATGTTGGTGACCTCTGCTGTAGATTGCTTTAATTCTATTTAAAATCTATCTACATCCATGGTGGGGAACCTCAGACCTGGGAGCCAAATGTGGCCCTCTAGACATCTCTGTCTGGCCCTCACATCTGTCTTGGCCACCCTTCCCAATCCTCCATCCTCAAGTGCTCTTGCCTCTTGATTGACCAGATCAATATATAAGTGCAAGTGGGTAGAAACCTCTAACTTTGGCAAGAGTTACACCTGTTACTTCACCCACTTCTGTCCCTGGCTCCACGCCCCTTTGCCACGTGGGCTGAACAAGGTTCCCTACTCTCGCTGCATATGGTAGAATAATTCTGTGTTTATTGCAATGCTTCATCTCTGCATGTTTTAATTATGGAACTGATTTGTGATTGATACAACCACAACATATCAGCACAGAGCAACAGCAAAAGCATTCTTCCATTGGGAGGCATGTTTACTGCCATGCTTTGAAGGAACAATTGACAAGCAGATGTCTGATAATTCGCTGAGCTGTATCCAAAAGCATTTTGGCCCTTGTCCAATCGATAGATAGCTCTTGCACAAAGCCAGCATCTCATTATCCAGATAACTGTGCTCACTTATAAAGAGTAGCAAAAGCAGAGGAAATACAGAAACCACTGTAGATCATTACTCACATTTGTTTAGGTTTTCTCTCACCCTTTGAAAGAACATTCAGTAATCCTGATTGATAAAAAAAGGTTCTGGTATACAGTGGTGCCCCGCAAGACGAACGCCTCGCAAGACGGAAAACCCGCTAGACGAAAGGGTTTTCCGTTTTGGAGGCGCTTCACAAAATGAATTTCCCTATGGGCTTCCTTCGCAAGACGAAAGCCCATAGGGAAATCTCTGGGAAAGCGGGGAAGCGCAGCGCGTCTTCCCCACTGTCCTCGGACCTCCTCCAAAGCCTGGCGGCGGGGCAGGGACACCTCCTCCCGCCGCCCAGCTTCGGAAGGCTGCTCCAAAGCCGGGCGGCGGGGCGGGGACACCTCCTCCCGCCGCCCAGCTTCGGAAGGATGCTCTGAAGCCGGGCGGTGGGGTGGGGACACCTCCTCCCGCCGCCAGGCATCGGAGCAGCCTTCCGAAGCCTGGCGGGGGGCGGAGAGTTTTTTTAAAAACCCCGGGACAGCGGGGGACTTCTCCGCTGTCCGGGGCGATTTTAAAATGCTGCCGGGCGGCGCCGCCGCCGCCCGGCAGCATTTAAAAAAACCCGGGACAGCGGGTTTAAAATCGCCCCGGCGGCGCGTTTCTCCGCTGTCCCGGAGGGCTTTTGAAGGCAGGCGGGGGGGGGGGGGAGGAGCAAAGACTTTTGCCCCCCGCCCGCCTTCAGAAGAGGTCCAGGACCTCTTCTGAAGACTGGCGGGGGGCAAAAGTCTTTGTCCCCCCTGTCTGCCTTCCCAGGGGCTTTTAAATCGCCCCGGACAGCGGAGAAGTCCTCCGCTGTCCCGGGGCGATCTTAAAATGCCGCCCGCCAGCATTTTAAGATCGCCCCGGACAGCGAAGAAGCCCTCCGCTGTCCCGGGGTTTTTTTAAAATGCTGGGGGTGGGAAGAAAAGCCCTTGTCCCCCCCCCCCCAGCCTTCAGAAGAGGTCGGGGGACAGACTGTCCCCGGACCTGGTCTGAAGTCGGTTTCCATAGGAACGCATTAATTGATTTTCAATGCATTCCTATGGGAAACCGTGCTTCGCAAGAAGAAAAACTCGCAAGAAGAAAAAACTTGCGGAACGAATTCATTTCGTCTTGCGAGGCACCACTGTACATTTATAGGCAGCACCTAACTTAATAAAATCATATTTTTATGGGTTAGGGTTCGTGGGAACTGTAGCTCAGTGACATCTGGGGGACCAGAGGTAAATAAAAAGCCAACCTTACTCTTCTGCAGTTGACCTTGTGTGATCTAGAACACACCCAGAATGAAACACCTGACATTCTCCTGTAGGAAAACTTGATAAGCTTCCAAGGAAATCCTGGGCTGCCCAGAATTCAGCTGTAAATCCATTATCTCACATACCGTCTGCCACATGCTACTCAAATGATAAAGCATAGAATGATAAGCGTGGAGTGGTTTATAACTTCCGTGTGTCATTTCAGATGGCTGGATTGCAGGTTGGGCGGAAGATTTATTCCATGAATGAGGATCTGGTGTTCCTGCGCCCATTTCAAGAGGTGGAGACCATCTTGAACCAGTCTTTCTGCTCTCGGAGACCTCTTCGGCTTCTTGTGGCAATCAAGGCAAAAGAGTAAGTCGCCAGAAAAATCCAGGTTGCTCTTGGAAGCTGATTCTGAGCAGTTAATATTATATATGTTAATGCCTATCATAATGAAGGCAACGTAAACATTTTACAATTTTACACTCTAGTGCAGTCTTGAGAGCAAACGTACACATTAAACCATGTATTATAAAATCATAACTCATACCTTTCTTTTTAGAGTTAATGTTCATTGTATGCCTTATGCGTCAGAGTTAATAACTTTAGCATACAAATGATACTGAATTAAGGATAGCATGAATTTAGTAGTCATGAAAAACTCCCCAGCGTGACATCTCTGCTTCTGGGTGAAAGAGCTTTTAGAGCTGCTGGATTCCATTTTATTCTCATGTGATCTTATGATCCCCGCCCCATCTGACTGCTGAGCTGTGTTTGTTTGCCTATAGTCACAGAATTCCCCTTAGAATCCAAGCCCAAGACATTACTCAATAAGTGATGAAGAATAACCACATGTGCACAGAATACCAGTGATGTAACTAAGCAGGACTGTTGTCACCCACATCCCTTTTATTTTTGACAGGATTATCAAAATCCCAGATTGCAGTGAAAAGCTGTGCTTCCAGATTCGAGGAGCAGCACCACCATATGTTCATGCTGTGGGGAGAGGTGAGAAAGGGGGGATGTGAAATGTGCTCTGAACACAGAACAGGGGAGCTGTATACGGGTAACCGAGCTGTATCCTGGAAAACCGTAGTAACATATAGGATGACTCATGCCCTGTGTCTGAATTAGAACACTAATTGCCTTTTAAAAATGTTAACAAGGTACATTAAAACAAGATGCTATGTAGTGGATTGTGCTAAATTCAACACTTCACATCAAAGGTGGGGAACTGGGCCTGATTGGTGGGCTGGATCTACATCTGGCCCACCCTCCGTGGGCCATGTGATGGGTGGGTGGGGCTGTCCACCTGTCAGTCACTTCAAAGGAAGAACTGGGAGTGAACTGTAGGTTTGCTTCCGATACTTTTTTTCTTTATTTGTGGCCTTGGCTTTAGTTTAAGCCAGAGCTGCAAAGAAAGAGTCAGCTGTGCAGCTGTGGCTTGAATTCAAGCTGCAAAGCTTCTTGCCAAAAATTGGACCTTGCATTCAACACCAAATCCAGCACCAACTGCAAGTCACATTTTGGGCTGGGATCAGCTCTACTTGGAAGCTCCTGAGTGGAAGAAAATCCTACCAGGGCTTGTATTGGCACCATATTTAAGAGGCACAGAATGCAAGCCCCATTTGCTGGGTAAGCTCATGGGTGGGTAGAGGGCCACTGATGTCAACCTGGAGATCTGGAGATCCATCAGATCTGGAGCTGGCCTTGTCAGGCACAGAGGCACCTAGAGGTCAATCCCTTCTATTCTGCAATCTCTGCAGCATCGATCCCTACTATTAGCAGGCAATATGCTGCCTCTTTATTAGTATGCCTGGAATAAATACTGGAAGCCTGGTCTGCTATGTCTGGATAACAGAGCAGGGCCTTTTCGTTGCTCTGCTTCAGGCTCCTTATTCCAGAAAAAGCCGCTGACATTGGAAGGTCTAGATTTGGTTCCAGCTTGGCGCTCCCACCGGTCTTATGATGTGTAAAGTACTATCAGTAGGAAAGGCAAGATATAAACTTATTGAATGTAGACAATCTAAAACAAAAAGTAGTTCAGTGTGCAATCTGATGATGCATGGTCACTCAGAATAAAGTCCCATTGAGTTTCAGATAAATGAGTATAGGATTGGCCTTCTAAACAGATTGTAGGATCATTTGTAAAAGAACTAACCTTTCTCCCTCCCTTTTGGGGGAAAGTTCTGTAGCTCAGGGCTAGAAAAGAGGTCCCAGGTCCAATCCCGGGCATATTTTGTTAGGGGCCTGAAACTCTGGAGAGGTCTGACTCGGTATAATACAACTTACACTAGAAGAACCTAAGAAGAGCCAATGGCCCATCTAGGGTTGCTTCAGAAAATCTGTCATATCCGCCACTCACTTGACCAGAAATAGCTTGTTTATTTATTGCTTACTCTGTAGCCGTGCTTTCTAAACCCCCTCTCCTGTCCACCTCTCTTAAGGATCAGAAGCAAGCGCTGTGGGCCTTCACCCAGGGCAGTGTGTCTTGAAAGTGAGCGGGAATAACGTGATGAATGAAAATTACACTGAGGTTCTGGAGCACTTTGCAGCATACAGGAACAGGCAGCAGCAATATCTGGTGAGAAACTGGTTAGGGAGGTAGTTGTTTTCTTATAATACTTCTAGAGACTAAGAAAACACTGTATCATGCTGTTGTGGAACTGTTTTGCTGAATAAGTGTGCTTTGAACTTACATCCCCTCATCAACAAGGGAGGGTGTTTAGCAGGGACATGAAAGCAGAACTTGGCAAATTTATCTTAGACTCAAATATTCCTGTTCACATGGCAAAAAGCTGCTTCTGTCTAGTTAGCAGGGACAACCCCAAGTACTAAATTAGATTTGGTTCTGAGACCTGAACACTCCCCCTTATAAAATCTCTTGACTTTTGTTGTAACCTAGATTTAAAAGCAGAGCTCTCTCCTCTAGATGCTAACATTCTTCTCACAAAATTCAGTGCACTTTATATTTCTTAGTAATTGACTCCACTCCCATCCCTCTTAAACCAAAACTGTGCTGTGGCTCTAAATATGGGTAGACTAAATTTATCCAATAGGCTAGTGTTTCCCAAACATTGGGGAATCCCAACAAAAAATGTCATATTTGGGCTTTTCTGCACAATCCTCTCAAGCCTATCTCTGTTCACTGAGGACCAAAATAGATGATATCTGAAATACCTGTATGCATTTAATGTCGCTGACTTTTCTTATTTGAAGAGAAGCCACAGGGGGAAGTGTTCAAGATTGGGACTGTGGCATGGGGTGGGGCATTTGTCTTGTGTGTGGTGGGGGTTTAACCCCTATTTTTCCATGCTACAGTCAAAATGAAAATACACCCCCCAGCTGCTATTGCCCATATCAGGTTTCCCTCTGGGGCAAACAGTAGCATTGGAGGGAGGCAGTTTTCATCAGGACCACAAGATGAAGAAAAAGCAGTGAGCAGATAGAAGACTGGAACTGATGAGTAGAGGGGAAATTATTTGGAGTGATGGGAAATAATGCAATGCCTCTTTACTTGTTGCGCTCTGGTGGACTCTGATCTGGAAGACAGGTCCCGATCCCTCCTCAGGCACAGCTTTGCAGGACCACTCTAGTTCTCTGCTTCAGTTCCTCATCTGTAAAGTCATAGTCCCACAGAATTACTGCAAAGATGACCAGGTTAAAACACTATATTGGAAAGATAGAAAATAAATAAATGTATCCCAGCCTTCAGTAGTACCTTCTCAATGCTGCTGCTGTTTTAAACAAAATCAGTGTGCAGCGTCATGCTGGAAGCAGCTACACACATCTGTTCCACCTTGCGTCCACAATGAAATGAAATGGACATGTGCAGCTGTTTTAAATATAACGTAGTACATGCTTAATCTGCTACATCTGAAGCACGACGGTGAGTATTGCATGTTGTGATTGCACAACGCAAGAAGTGGCTGGAAGAAGGACTGAAGAACAGAGAGATAATTTTCAGGTTGCCAAGACGTATTTTAAGAACCACTTCCCCCTACCTCACGCCAAATATGTTTACATAAATAGAGTGGGAGCTTTTATTTTATAACAGTAAAAGGAACTCACAGAAGAGGGAGGAGTCAGCAAAACAGCTATTCTCCTCCATCACAAGGCTCTCTCTTCATCTGCTATATTAAAAAGGGATATCATGGTACTGTCAGGGTCAAACCAGACAATGCATTAAGCACCTCTATGCACTTAATGAGCCAGACTTGTTATTTGAATAGCAGCCATGGGTGGAAGGAGGGGAATTTAAATAGTTGCAGAGGGAAGGTGAGGTGGATCTGGACTGTGGAATGTTGGGAGTGGGGATTTAACCCTTTCTATTAGTCCAGGCCTCCTTTTTTGCTGCAAACTGTTTTTTTTTTTTTTTTTTTGCTGCAAATAAACTGTGACTACTGCCTCTCCCTGTTAAGCTAACAGAGAGGTCATGTTAGAATCTCTACACAGTTTTGGCCCAGAGTATCTTAAGGGCTGCCTTTCCCCATATGAATCTGCTCAGTTATTAAGATCATCATCTGAGACTTTGCTTCACATCCTGCTTCAGTATGAGGCATGGTCGGTAGTCATGTGGGACCAGGCCTTATCAGCAGTACCACCCAGCTTGTGGAACTCCCTCCCCTTGGAGGTTCATGTGGTCCCCATATTGTAAGCCTTTCACAGAGCTGTGAAGACTGTTCCTTTTCCACCGGATGTTTGATCTTGAGTAATTCTGGCTCTATGTTGGTGGGGTTGTGGTTGCTCTGTTCAGATGTTCTCTCTAACTATATGGATTTCAGATATTTTAAATGAGATTTTCTCACATTTCCTGGTCCTGTTTATCATTCTTCTCATCTGCCTGATGTTCATCATCACCCCCATTGGCCATCCATCATTGGCCATACTCATCTCATTATTGGCCATGCTTGTCCAGAACATCTGGAGCAGACCAGGTTGCTGATACCTGTAAATCCATCCAAAAGCCAATGTGCAGTGAAACTTGGGAGAATGTCTCTCTGACATCCTTGCTTTCTTTGGAAGGGTTTTTATCAATGGGTGTACCGAACGCATGAAGACGCCGAAGAGGACAGAGCTCGGCAGTCAGCTTCCAACTCATACCTGAATGGAAGTCATTCTGAATCTTGTAAAGGAGATCTCTTTACAACCGAGGAAAATAATCCCCTTAATGACAGCCAGCAAGACGAAGGTAAGACATTCCCTGCCAATGAGGGAAATGATCTAGGAAGTGATCTGTAGCTGTCCTCTGATGGGGTTGGGGTGGGGAAGGGATAGCTTGGTGATGCAAAAGTCCTCCTGGCCCCCCTTCTTAGAAATGATCTCAAATAGTAGGTCTATAAAAGACTTTCCTGAGACCTTGAAAAGCCACTGCCATCTGAAGTACTGGGCTAGATAGACTAATGACCTGGTTCATTATAATGTAGTTTTATATTTTTGTATGATACATCAGTAGAATGGGAGCTAGATGTGCCTTTCTTCTAAGGGAAGGTGACAGAGACAATAATTTATACCTGAATCACTGTGGATGTTTAATTTGGAACAGGGGTTCTTTTCTTGTCTTCAGCAGACAGTCTTCAAGGGTTGCCACTCAACCCTTGCCTATTACAGGGACTGGAGACCGGGCATTTCCCCGGACCGTGCCAGTTTCCTGCTATGTGCTATACATGTGTGAGTCAGTGGGTGAGGCATCTGGTAGATCACTCAGGATGCCGCAAGAAGAAGCCTATGTGCAGAACTTCAATCCTGCATCTCCTCCTTTGTGGTCTCTCACACTGGTTTCATATATACAAACTTTGTCTCCAAAACAGTACATTTTATTGACCTCTTTAGCTGTGCACTAGAGAAAATCACTAAGCCCCTGGATGCAGTGTTATAGGGAAATTGACTTGGCAGCTGCAATGTCAAGCCACAAACCCAACATAATTGCACAGTGCCTTTGCTTGTGGTTGACATATATCACACTGGGCAATGTTTTTATTTTATATTTTACTGAATTACTTGTATCCCTTGTGCCACGTAGGATGCCAGCTCAGTCTTTCTCTCAACTTGTTACCCCAAATTGGATGTGACTGACTCCTAGCTAAACTGTGGGATTCTTAATGAGAATGTTATTGAGAAAAGGGGATTGTGGGATTCTATTTACTGACAGTGCTATATTTGGCTGAAGCTATAACACAGGGACTGACCAAGATGGCAAGAGATGAGAGTATTAAGACATCTGAGTCCCATTTGATATTTTGCCTATGTAGCTTCTCTTTGAAAGGAAGTATGCTTTACTTAGCCGAACTTTCCCAACTGGGTTATTGTGAAGATAAAACTGGGTATAGCGCTGAGACCTTGAGTTTCTTCAAGCAGGGGTGGGATGCAAATATAAATAAAATTAATACCTTAATAGGATGTTGCATAGCACCATATTTCAGCAAAATAATGAATGAAATTAAAACGTGCTTTAAAGTTGAGACTGAGTGTTTGCTCAACAGGATCCTAAGCGGTCTGAGAACCAGCCCCACCAGTTGTGTCTAGTACTTCCTGTCAGTGTCGCCCCCTCTCCCAAGACATTAGAAGACTTTTAAAATTGCTTTTGATGGCTTATAATTGGCAGAAGCATCACTGCCAGAATTCCAAGTAATTTTGTTGACTGAGCAGAAGCGAGAAGGGCTTTTAAAGTTCATCAGTGATAATCACATTTTTAAAAGCTTTTGAATATTCATATTTGCATTGTGTGCTCTTGGCTGACTTGCAGTGCGATGGCATGTGCTTTGGCTGAATGATTGACAGTGTAATCCTAATCGTGCCTGTTCAGAAATGGAGTTCAGTGGTGCTCGCTCTCAAATAAGTGTTCATATAAGAGGGATAGCATTGTAGTCCCTGCCAAATGTTTTAAACATCCACCTCCCAAACATCCCAGGTTTCATGAGGCCAGAGATTATGGGAGTTGTATGGGAGACATACACATGCCTTTACTGTGGCCTTTGACACCTGAGATGTGTAGTTTCATGGACCACCCTCTTCCTGTGACTGTAATTTGTTGTAGAGTTAGAAGGGACCCTGAGGGTCAAGTCCTCCTTTATGCTAAGTGGATACATCCATGAGATGGAGTGGTTTTTGTTTTTGTTTTTAATGAACTCAGTAAGATCGCAGTGTTCATAAATGCCAAGAAGGCCTTTTAATTATGGCATGTTCTCATTCCTCCTGTGCATAATGGCTTTTTGTGCTGCTTCTGGGATCCTGAGAATTTTTTTGATATGTGTTATGCCTACCAGCGTGGTTCCTCGAGAGCGAACAGGCAAGATTCCCACTGGTCTTTTCAAAGGTTTCATTATTGGTGCAAAAACATCTACAGTGCAGAACGTCTCAATTCCATGTCTTGCTCAGTCACTAGCAGAATCTGAGAGTGGGCGGTCCTTAAACTTTCCCCAGGAGAGTAGTCTCTTGACCCCCATCCAACGCCTCCCCTCTATGCGCGTAAACCTACTGTGCAGAGAGGGCGTGGGTAAAGGGGGACCTGCCTCCCCCCGTGTTTTGCTCATGCACGGTGTCTTGGCTCTCTCTTGCATCCTCCGAGCCCTGCATCTCTTCCCCACTAGGGGCGGGGCTTCCCTCCTCCGCTGAGGAAGTGCTGCTTCCCACAATCTTTGGAGGCTCCCTGTAATCCAGCTGCCTTTCCACCTCTCGCCTCTGAGCTGATGGCAGTTCCCTGACAATATGCTACAGCTTGTGCTCTTGTCTCCATCTCTGTGCTCTTCTAACGACCGAACTTTGGTTTGCAGAATTGGCCCTTCAGACTTTTGACTCCCCGTTAATCATCAGAGAAGACACTCCTCTTATTAGCCTAACGGTGGACAATGTTCACCTGGAACATGGTGTCGTGTATGAATACGTCAGCACTGCTGGGATCAGGAGCTTTGTCCTGGAGAAGATCATTGAGCCCAAGGGGTCCTTCAGCCTCACAGCAAAGGTTTATACCATTCGGTGTTTTTCTTTAATGCATCAACCAGGCATCCACTTCTCCCTGTCCCTGAAGCTCAGTAGAGTTACAAATGTATATAGAAATGTGTTAAAATATATTGAAGTCTGTTAAAATCCAGTTGCAAAAAAAAGGACCCTCTTATGACGGGAGACAACCTAATGGGAGATGGTGTACAATGAGTTAAAGAAAATCTTTAAACTTACCTTTCCTTAGAAACCAGAAACATTTCTTCTAGGTGTAATTGCGAATGAATTGCCTAAGAAAGCCCACAACTTATGCAACAACCAGTATATGCAAGAAACTGGAAATTAAGAGAAATCTCAGGGAAAGAACAGCAGATATGCAAACTAATTGAATATGCCTAGCTTGCCAGTATGACATCTGAAATGAGAAACCAAGATGACAAATTGACAATGAGTGAGTGGGAGTACCTAGGGGGATATTTATTGGACCTTAAATATGACTTCCAGGTTAGGGGGTGCTTTGTGACCAACAGTTGACATTATAAAAGATAAGAGAGTGTGGAAAATTGGGTGAAGAACTAGTGTATGTGCAGCCAAATAATATGTATAGAGAACTGTCATGAAATGCTGGGTGGGAAGTCAAATACGATTTATTGTATATAGTATGGAAAAGAAGATGTAACTGTAAAACTAAAGAAACTCAGAAAATAGTCAGATGGCTGCAGAGATGTTGAGACTCATTTGCTGCAGATTGCAGCTGGCAAGGATTTTTTTAAAACAGTGGCGGCGTGGGGGGGGGCACACCAGAGAAAAACCTGTCATCCAACACCTCATTACTACATGGTTAATCAACCCCCACCTCTTCCAAAACATTCTTGGAAATCTGTCTACTTTCCACAGAAACAGCAGGATTTCCCTCTCACTTTTTGTGGAATGAGGGTTCCACAAAAACAAAGAACAAAATTTGAGTCACCACTTACGTTACAATTTACCTTTCCAAAGTGTTCCCTTGAAATACGCCAGGAAGCGTGTCTACCTGCCCAGTTGTCATTTTTGCCTTTGGAATTGTGCAATCCTGGCTGATGTATTTCCAATGTTTCATCTGCTTAGAGGTTTGTGGCCTGGTGTTCCAACCAAACAAGGTAATTGTTTTCTAATGCTTTAGATTTTGGAGGCCTTTGCTACAGATGACAGCTTCTTTGTGAGGAACTGCAGAAGGCTTATGTCCCTCAGCAATGCTGTGGTCACCATGCCGCAATTTGAGTGCCGGCAGATTTGCGACACAAAGTTGGAGAGCATCAGCAGAAGGGTTGCCAGTTATCAAGAGGTGAGATCATTGTGCATAACGACATCATGACACTGCAGCATAAATGGCCTCGGTCCATTTATGAAGGAGCGTCTCCTCCCCCATCATTCTGCCCGGACACTGAGGTCCAGTGCCGAGGGCCTTCTGGCGGTTCTTTCGCCTTGAGAAGCCAAGTTACAGGGAACCAGGCAGAGGGCCTTCTTGGTAGTGGCACCCACCCTGTGGAACACCCTCCCACCAAATGTCAAAGAGAAAAACAACTACCAGACTTTTAGAAGACATCTGAAGGCAGCCCTGTTTAGGGAAGCTTTTAGTGTTAAATAGACTATTGTATTTTAATATTTTGTTGGAAGCCGCCCAAAGTGGTTGGGGAAACCCAGCAAGATGGGCAGGGTATGAATAATAAATTATTTATTTATTTATTTATTAATTATTATTATTATTATTATTATTATTATTATTATTATTATTATGCCTTTAGATTTCAAATCCCCTTTTAAGGAGGTGGGCTGGGTGTAGGTGCGCATTACGTTATGTGTTTTAAACTTTTAGATGGCTTTCTGGTTTTATTCAGATTGCAGACTAATGCACTGTCTGATTGTGAAACACTTGCACCATATCCAGTTAAGGGCCTTCTTCACACAGAAGCAGGCTTTCCAATCTGACATCTCGGACTGGATGCACACAGCTCATTTTACAAAGCCAAGATATGATGCCTGCAGATCAGACAGGAAGCAGGAGTAAGGGGATCCTATCTACCCTCCTCAACAAATAGCTAATTAGTGGGATTCTGGTTTTTTTAAAAAATGGGGGGGGGGAATATGAGTAGCACATATCCAGAACCCACAGCTTCATTCACAGTCTTTTGGGTCAGAGCCCCAGTTTATATTATGGGATGTAAGCATTCACCTGCTATCATGGATAGCATTTCTACATCATTTCTGGTCTCTCCTGGATTCTGTGAACATCTTGAAGCATGCAATACATAGATTTATGTAGTTATTAAGGAAATACATTTTCTGTGAATTATTGGAAAGAGGACCACCGAGATTTTTTTTTTTCTTCTGTGGGTGGAGGTGGTGATGGAAATAAGAAAAAAAGAGAGGAGCAGCTGTGGTAGGTAGTTCGATTTATTTATAAGTGCATAAACCCAGGGGCAAGTAGTTTGTGGATTAGTGTGCTAATACAATTGAAACATTTTTCTTTCTTTCCCTAGTTCGCAGATGAGTTGAAAACCAAGGTGAGCCCATCCTTCAAACGAGCCACAACGGAACTCCACCCTCTGAGCAGCATGGATTTCTGCCCCACCAACTGCCACATTAACCTCATGGAAGTGTCGTATCCCAAAAACACTACCTCGGTGGCTAGGTCGTTCAGCATTCGCATCGGACGGAAGCCTTCTATTATCGGCCTAGATCCAGAACAAGGTGCTCACTATTTCTTAAGAGCTTTGCATACCCATTGGAACAACACCCAGCTGTTGTTCAAGACCAAATTCAAGAAGAATGCTTCTGCTAAGATGCCTGGTCCCCTCTGAAGTTTTTATGAGAACATCTGACTCTGTCATAGGACACAGCGTAATAGTGGGAATAGGGTGGGTGGGGATGAACATAACTATCATGCTGCACATGACAGCCAAGCAGCCTTAAGCAAATTCCCCCCTTTTCTGTATAGAAGGGATGGTTTATTGACTGGGAATGAAACCTGAAAGACTTAACAAGAGATTCCATCACCATGCAAATATGTTATGGCTGCAAGGCTTGGCAGCTGTATGTAGGCAATTGAACAAGAGTGGTCTTCCACTGGTGTCTGTGCTAAAGCAATATGTTTTGAGGCAATTTATGATAATACAAGAAGCAACTGAGATACTGGCAACAGGGAAAGGAAGGCCAAAGGTCTAGGACTAGCTCATGGTTGCTGTTCTTGCCCTAGTATTTACAGAATTTGTCAGGCTTGAGTAGAGCTATTGGCCTGCTGATAATTCCAGATAAGTAAATAAATTGCATAAGCATAGTTCTAACCTTCAGGTAAATTTTAAAGGATTTCTCTATGATGACTACAAAGGGTTTTCTGGGGCGGGGAAATTCTTCGTAATTCCTTATTTCTTCCCATCTGTCACTTATATCTTCCCCCTTTTGGAAAACAGGTCAATAAATAACATATAAAAGAATTTGAGGTTGCTCCTTAAAAGAAGCTTTAAAGACAAGTGCTTTTTGTAACCAGAATTTTTAAATGTTTAACAGGAAGCTTAAATCCAGTCTCATATACTCAGCACTGCATAGCCAGCATGGCTGCACCATCATGGAGATGCTTGGCGCCAGAAAATGGGGACCTCAACCCACATGGACAATATGATGGTTGCTATGGCCAAGAGAATGGAGGAACTACTCAGGAGGAGAGAGGTCTCACCTTTCTGTTGAAGCAAGAAGATCGGGAAATACAGGACTCCTACTTGCAGCTCTTCAACAAACTAGAAGTAGCAGTTAAAGAAATGAAACAATACGTCTTTCAGATAAATAAGTGAGTTGGTTAACATCTTGCCTTTAGAAATCTTTGTGCTGAATCGGGGGGGGGGGGGGAGGAGAGAATCAAAGTTATGATTGAATTATAACTCTCAATGCCCTACTTGACTTAGCTTTAGCATGCCTTAGAGCAGGGGTTATGCAGAGCCTCCGATTAAGGTTTTAAAAGCATGGTGAGGTTCACAGAGCGTCAGCCTACAGGTGTCCCCCATGTATGTATAGCAGAGATTACACTTCTGGCTCCTGGAGCCCTTGGCTGGTTTTTCTTCTTACCATGATACATTCTACATCTGCAGGCTTTTGTCCACCATTACTGAACCCACGGCAGCAGGATTATGTGAGCCTCCCTCCATGGAGGAGATGCCCGCCACATCCTTGGTCTCGGAAGAGAGTGATATTGACAAAGTCGAGCATGGGATGAAGAAGGTTTGTTTCAAAGTGTCTGAGGAGGACCAGGAAGATTCGGGACATGATACAATGAGTTATAGAGACTCGTACAGGTGGGTTCAGTGAGGCGCGCTGCTCGGAAGCCATTTCACTTGAATACTGTGAAGAATTATACATCCATGTATCATCAAATGAATCACATACTGCTGTTAAAACTTGTGGTATCAAGAATGCTCATGTTCTTCTACTTGATGGTTTAATCTAGTAGCAGACTTGGGTAGTGGAGTACCTATCAGGAAGTGAAAAAAGAACCACCCCAAAATAAGTTTTTTGCATCCTTGGTGAACCCCCAGAAGTATATTTGTAAAATAAAAGAAAAATTATAGAGAGCGAGAGAGCAGAGACAGAGAAGAAAGCCCCTTGGCAACAAGATCCTAAGAGCATACAGGGTGATGATGGTAGTTGAGAGAAAGAGAAATTTCTAAAGAATTGTACTGCCTGAGCCCCTGACAAGTTATGAAAAGGGTCGTAGAAAGAGGGGTGATTAGGGTTGCAGGTGTGTGACCCAGGGACCCCTGACAGCTTGTTATAACTATCCTTGAGAAGAGAGATTGTGAGTTGGGTGGAAGGAGATCTAAAAACTCCCCACAACCACCCACTCTATACATGGATGTTTCAGAAGGACAGCAAAGCAAAAGGATTCATTTCCCTTTTTTCGTCCTCAAGAACGGCACCCACCCCGTATAGCTATGAAATGCTCAAATTTGGGGCCACCAGACTATATGGCACAACTGGGGGAAATCCCTGGGGAGCAGGGGAAAATTCACCCTTTTTTTCTCTTTCCGACTACTGAAATTTTCCTTTCCAAAGAGATCTGAGCAGCAGTTCTATCTGACTATGCCACAAAATTGTATTTCAGGTTCTAGTTGTTAATGAATGCATTTGAGAACATGCACTAAGCTAAAAGCAGAGGCGGTTTTAGGGTAGTCCCACCGGTTCCGGGCACTGGTACTGCAGGGGGCACTGCAACAATGATGTAGAATGGAGCACGAGAGGCCGGGGGGGGGGGCGCCAAATTTTAGCATCGCACAGGGCACCACTGAAATTTGAGAACCCAAAGTCCACCACTGCTAGAACTGCTTGTAACATGCACGGTGATGCCTTTTTGGCTGGCGCACTTCTTTATGTCATCACAAGAAAAATGTTTGTTGCGCCCCAATCTGTGAATCCATTCCAGCAAATGTTAATGATGGCTAAATTAGGAGATTAGTCACAGCTAACCTTTATTAAATTGTGTCCTTTGTTTCTTTAAATTGTGTCCTTTGTCTTATAGATATAGACACCTACCAATCTTACATTCTTATTCAAAGGGTTCTTGCACTTTGATAACAGAGCAGAATCATAACCCATATATTGCCCTTCTGTTTTGCTGGTTGTTTGTACATTACCACATTTTATTCTGGTATGACTTACCATATGGGAGGCCACTTGTAAGATTTTTGAATAAAAGTTAAATGTTTTGTGCAGTGATGCAGGATGAAGGGGAAAGCAATGGGGAATTGAAGTGACTCCAAATAGTCGCATTTTGACTAATGCTGTCCTCAGTGACACAGAATGTTCACAGCAACAACTACCTACTAGCTAGCAATACCTTCTCACCATTTAGTACATCTGCATTGCAGGGTAGGAGGAATTTGTCCCTCTTCATAGGAAGGACATTCCATCACTCCAGACAAATTCAGTTGCTTTTCTCCATGGTCTATTTCTAATCTCATTATGCCTTTAGAAGCTAAAATCCAAATGTTTTTAAATCTTACCAATTCCTTTTCTCCTTAAAAAGCACTCTGTGCTTAAAATCTGCTAACAAATGGATCATCGCTCCTTATATACTTAGGACTGTTCCCCAATGTACAGTAGAGCACATATGACGTGGGCCAGGCCCTAATCATTACTTGCACGGTACGAATTTAAGTGCATCCAGTCCAGAGTTCACAACAATTTGACATGGTGCACATGTCAGTCACAGGATCAACTTACAGCAGGGCCTCAGTGATCAGGCAGGTCAGGTGAGGTCAGAGGGAAGAATTTTCCTCTTTATCCAGTGAAGCATTGCAGCTGGGAAGAGGGAATCTTTTGTGGGTTTTTCAGGGGTAGACGCCTGTTAGCTTCAGACTGGTTCTGCAGCTGTTGTTTGCAGAACTGTTAACTTGTTGTCTTATGTGTACAAGCACACAATCCACAGAAAACGCAGACTAATTGGACTTTATAACGATTACATCTACAGTAGGATTTTTTTGCATTACTCAGATCAGCAGGCACCAGTCTGAGGCACATGGAAGTAGACTGAATTAACCACAGCTCTGCTGTTTGGAAGATCTCACAAGAGATTTCAAGTAATGCACTTTTTTTTTTTGGACTTTGTGGTTTTGTGTCCTAAGTGGAACAATTTCTGGATCATACATTAGAAGGATAGGAGAGAACAGAAAATGCTGTTTTTGAAGGGGCCGCCAACCAGCTAGAGGTTTTTTCGCTGTCTAAATCATAGCCCTTCGATGAGGGCATTACGAGACTCATATACCCTTCCCTCCCCCAAAGGTGAAAACTGACAAGTGAAGAATAGCTTGGTCCCTGTCCACTTGTTCTAACCCGGGAATCTAAAGATGCAAGGAAGTTGCCCACTCCTCTGTATTGCTGATTGAAAGAGCAAATAAGCTAAATTAGGCTCCAGCAATACAGAGGATACAAAATGGATTTACACAAGGCTTTCCTCCAATAGTTCCCCCTCTTGCCAGGCACACCAACAACATGAGGTAATTAATGGCGGCGGTGGGAGGGGAAGGAGTCATTTCATAGTAGTAAAGAACGAAACCAGTTTGAACTGGCTCTTCATCTCAATTGATTTCAATCCAATACCAGAGCTAAAATTCAAATACTCTTTATTCAGTGCTTTGTGGATCACAACAATAAGGAATTAAGGCACCTGTATTATAGAACAGAAATTCCACCCAGCCATTCTGCAGGCAACGCTATTTTAAAGAGACCTTTTTAGTCTGATATAGGAGCATATTTATATATTGTTCAAATTGTTGTTGTTGTTTAGTCAGGTCCAACTCTTTGTGATCCCATGGACCAGAGCATGCCAGGCACTCCTGTCTTCCACTGCCTCCTGCAGTTTGGTCAAACTCATGCTGGTAGCTTCGAGAACACTATCCAACCATCTTGTCCTCTGTTGTCCCCTTCTCCTTGTGCCCTCAAACTTTCCCAGCATTAGGGTCTTTTCCAGGGAGTCTTCTCTTCTCATGAGGTGGCCAAAGTATTGGAGCCTCAGCTTCACGATCTGTGCTTCCAGTGAGCACTCAGGGCTGTTCAAATATCTCCTGACTTACTCCTGTCACTATGGAAATGAGTCTAGCAAATACTCAACAACTTTACTATTAGACTGCTGTAGAAAGTCAAGACTGTTTGAAAAATAGCTTTGTGCATTTCAGTTCCTCAAACGTGGTTCCCTCACTCCCTGTCCCCACCCTCTGCCTTTGTAATATAGCACTATAAAACCACAGAAGTTTTCAGGTAGCTTGGAAGCGCTTCTAGTAGCTGCAGTTACAGAGAAGTCTTTTCTATTCAAGTCTGTGAACATTGTGTTCCCAGAAGACTCAGAAGAGGAAAATAGTAAAAGAATAAAATTTCAGCTTCCCCACCCCCTTACCCTGCTTTCTTGTTTTTCAGTTGGTTTCGGAAAACTGAGATAAAAAATATTTGTGTCTGAAAATCTTGTCTTAAGGCATAAGTGACCAGCTGCTTCTCGTGGCATATATGTCACCTAGTGAAATATCAAACTGTTCAAGCTTTAAAATTTAACTATGTGGTATTTAAAATGTTTATGCACCACTTTGTGTAAATAAATCTTGAGCAGTGTATAATATAAAAATTATTTTAAAAAAACAAAGACGATGAATCAGTATAAAACCCCAAAATAGTGATATTTTGACAGATCACCCTGGTTGGTGCTAGAAGGGAAGCATAAAGCCCAGTCGGAAGATCTACATTTGAACTGTATTTCTGGGGAGCCAGTGTGGTGTAGTGGTTAAGAGCGGTAGATTCATAATCTGGTGAACCAGGTTCACGTCCCCGCTCCTCCACATGTAGCTGCTGGGTGACCTTGGGCTAGTCACACTTCTCTGAAGTCTCTCAGCCCCACTCACCTCACAGAGTGTTTGTTGTCGGGGAGGAAGGGAATGAGAATGTTAGCTGCTTTGAGACTCCTTCGGGTAGTGATAAAGCGGGATATCAAATCCAAACTCATCTTCTTTCTTGCTGCAGTGATTCAAGCGCTAGTCGGATGGTAGCTCTTTCTCCGATACTGGACTTTCTAATCCGGGAGGAGTAACAGGGGACCCCTTCCTCTTAAACATGCAATTTAGATGTGTTCATTTCCACATACATGTCATGCCTTAGGATTGTTGTGAGCATAGTGATCCAGGTACATTGAGTATTTCTCCTGTGTTGTTGGCAAAGGAGATGGAATTTTGTGTGAAGCAGAGCTCTCAACATGACAACCAAACAAAGAAAGCTACTGAGCGGTAGCCAAAAACTGTCAAACGTTTGTAGAAAATCCCCAGCGTGTTTTGCAACCTGTGCATTAAAGAAAATAGGCCATGGCAATTCAATTAGAAGTGCTATTTCTAGCACTTCAAGTTTCCTAGTCACAGGAATTAGCATCATTTATTTCCTCTAAGAGCCGAGCATTGAACATGTAAAAAGCACATTTTGCATGGTTTAAATCCTCAGTTTTGGTTCCATAGAAAAGCTGTTGGTGGGTGGTAGGCTAATCTTTTGCTGGCAGTGTATCTTCAGGGTTTTTCTACCTACTCACAGTGGAATTTGTTTTAATGCAATAGAAATAATTTTATTCAGCTTTTCATATGACTCCTATTCCTGTGCTGGGTTTTGTTTAATGGGTTCCATAATTGAGCCTAATCTGTCCTAGATGACACAGTGAGATCAAAGGCAGATTCCCAGTGGGGCTGTCACTTGTTTCAGAATTTAAATGAAAGATGAGAGAGTTTGTTCTGTCTTACCTCTTTTAGACTCAGACGATTAAGCATACATAACCTATATAATAGCAATTCAAGAAGGAATCAAATGTGTTTTGATTGGTTTTGGTCAGAAAATGGATATCCCGGAGCTTACAAGAATGAGTAAAGCACAGCTAAGAAGATACTTAGCTGGAATTAGTCATGGTTTGTTGCACAAGATCTGATTCGGACAATCAGTTTACCTTTCATAGCCATTTGTCTCTTCCTAACATTCCTGAACATAGTGTAGTATATCCCTTTCAGAAATTAAGAGAAATAGATACCTTTGAGAACAATTTATATATTGATAGCAGAAATCAAGTGGAGCATTCTCCTTTACCCTTGTCATTTTGATAGAGATGAAACAGCTCTTGGATATACTGTGCTTATTGCATTTATTGTTTGTGTTGTTGTTACGCCGTTAAGATGCAGCAACTTGCAGATCTACACATACAAAAATATGTCATATTATTCTCCTGCTCATCATTTTTTAATCCCCACAACAGTGACTGACCCAAGGTGAACCCACTGAGCTTCATGGCCAAGTGTGGATTTGAACCCTGGTTTCCCAGGTCCTAATCCAACACTCTGGGTATGTCTCTGTATCCAAAGAGCTAACAAGTTCTCATAAGGGCCCATTCCATAGAGAAGGCCCCTGTGGTAGCCCAGTGTATGGAGTTTCAGACTTGAATTCCACATATGTGAATTCAGGTATCACCAGACTCATGGGCTTGTGGTTCCTTGGACCTTCATTTCCCATTTTCAACATGGGAGCAGAAGAGAGCCAGTGTGGTGTAGTGGTTAAGAGCGGTAGACTCGTAATCTGGTGAACTGGGTTCGATTCCCCGCTCCACCACATGTAGCTGCTGGGTGACCTTGGGCTAGTCACACTTCTCTGAAGTCTCTCAGCCCCACTCACCTCACAGAGTGTTTGTTGTGGGGGAGGAATTTAAAACAAAACAAAACAAACAAACATGGGAGCAGAAAAGACTTCCCTTGTGGGGTAGTTTTGAGCGTATTTAAAAGATTGCAATGTTCATTTAAATAGTGTTGCATAAATTATATCCCATTCAGAGAAGGTGCTTCCAGTTGCATTTGATTGGTTAACATTCTGGCACATCAGGACCAGAGGCCAAATGCGGTCCTCCAGACCTCCCTGTCTGGTCCTTGGGATTTTCTCCAGGCCACACTCCTCAGTGGCTCTAGGTCTTGGCCTCCATAAGTGTTTTTGCCTGGCCAGAATGTGACCTTGAACTCTCATAATGCCTCTTGCTCGCCTTGGTGGACAATATAGAAGGGTGTGTTTTGAAACAATCTTATTGCACAGATGTCATATATAGATTGACTCATGCATACTCTTGCTTCTTTTCACCATTGGCATGTGACTCACTTTGACTTCTATGTAAAAGAGTAAGAATGGCTAACGAAAGTTAGAAGATAGGATAGTTACGTTAGGTCAGGAAATTAGAATTCTTTACAAATTTTGCTACTGGTTCTGCAGATTATGCTCTCTAATAAAAATGTATGTTTATGTTTAAATCTGTGTTCTGGTCTGGATGGATTCTATGGCAAGTATATCTCGCCCAACATGCTATGTGTGGATGCACTTGAGTATGATGATTAAACCAGAGTCCTACTCCTTTCTACAAGTCAGAAGGTGGCAGTGGCAGTGGCAGGTAGTTTTAAGGGAAGTCTGGACTCAGCAGAATAGCTGAGTGACAGGGAGACACCTGGAAATGTCACAAAACAGGTACCGAAAACAGTGTTCCATCATTGTGCATTCTAATAAAAAACAGTGCGGTTTTAAGTCAAATCTGAACTTTAGAGTCAATCAACAGAACATTGAAGCTCAGTGACGAAGTCCCTGCGCTCAAAGAATCAACTAAATTTGGGTTAGAATTTGAACTTCTAACCCTTGTCTTTAGTCACTGACATGAGCTCTGGTAGCAAAGAGTAATGCTACAGTTCTGCAATCTGTCTTCATCAGTGAAAGATGAAGTATTCTAGGACAGAGTTCAAAAGTTTGCTGTCACTAAAGGATAGTATCCTCTTACTGTGTTGAGTTAGGAGGGCCATTGTCCATTGTACACTACATTAAACCCTTGGAGACAGGCAGGATAGAAATGAAAGAATGCCCTTGGATATCCTCCCCCCCCCCAAGGTGCTAACTATGCATAGCTGGAATTCTGCATATGAAGAGTTTCTTAGTTTTTACACATTTTTCTTCCAGTGAGTGCAACAGTAACCGGGACTCTGTGCTTTCCTACACCAGCGTACGGAGTAACAGCTCTTATTTGGGCAGTGATGAGATGGGATCAGGTGAGTGAATGCTGTGCTTCTATAATGAAACCATTAGTATTAATAAAGAAGGTTTCAGCAGTGTATGGACCATAAGCCAATGCTTCAGTAGATGCCACTCTATTATTCAGCTGCTCACTTATGTTTTGTTAGTGTTCCCATAGCAATCACCCTCCTTGCAGACTTATAGAACTAAAAAAGCCCATGTCATACGCTATGTCCAAGTGGAACGAGAAACTTCAAAAATCAGTTGGGTCATCTTGTTCATCTTGGTTCTTAGAGCACTTTCAGTTTTCCTTCTTTCCTTTTCACCCCTTCAGAAAGATAGAAGGAGGGTGGTTGATCACAGCCTAAAGTAGTTGTAATTGATACTGCTGTTGTCATTATATATTAAATTTCTAGATAGGCATTTGCTCCTGACATTCTTTCCATTGCAATATATTTCCATGAGAACAAGTCCAAAGTTTTACTGTTCTTACCATTAGGTGATGAACTCCCCAATGACATGAGGATACCTTCAGACAAACAAGACAAACTGCATGGCTGCCTTGAGCATCTATTTAACCAGGTGAGTGACACAAACGCTTATGATGTAGAACAGGGAACTTCACTGCTTTTGCCATATTCTCTTAGAGTGCGTGCTCTTCAAGATGCTTAAAAAGGTAAAGGTAAAAGGACCCCTGACCATTAGGTCCAGTCGTGATTGACTCTGGGGTTGCGGCGCTCATCTCGCTTTATTGGCCGAGGGAGCCGGTGTACAGCTTCCGGGTCATGTGGCCACCATGACTAAGCCGCTTCTGGTGAACCAGAGCAGCGCACGGAAACGCCGTTTACCTTCCCGCCGGAGCAGTACCTATTTATCTACTTGCACTTTGACGTGCTTTCGAACTGCTAGGTTGGCAGGAGCAGGGACCAAGCAACGGGAGCTCACCCCTTCGCGGGGATTCGAACCGCCGACCTTCTGATCAGCAAGTCCTAGGCTCTGTGGTTTAACCCACAGCACCACCCACGTCCCTTCCAGATGCTTAGGAACCAGTAATGTTGATTAGCAATTGGATGCTCTTTTCTTGACATTCTCTGTGATGGGGTTCAACAAATATTATGTTGCTCATTCAGGCCATGACTCATCTACTTGGCCTCATCTGGAGTGCCTCAGACCATGACAGTTGTCTTCGGTTGTTCGCCCCCAGCACTTGGTGTTCAAAAATATACTCCCTCTGGTCTTGGAGGCTTCATTTAACTATTGTGATTTGGGGAGGGCATGGGGCACACATGGGGGAAGGAGCTGTGTAAGCAGAAATTCTTGCACTGATGGGATATGTTACCACCCATGGTTTCCCCTAGGAAAAAAAACAAAAAACACCTCTCTGGAAACTCTTGGAGAATTTTCAAGACTCACTAAATGCGCTTCTTTGCAGGTGGATGCTATCAATGCCCTTCTCAAAGGACCAGTAATAAACAAGGCTTTTGAAGAAACAAAACATTTTCCAATGGACCACAGTTTACAAGGTAAACTTCCCAGAACATCATGTGCCCAGGATAATCTTGCTTTTCTCAGAACTTTACAGCTAGGTCCAGACGCAACTTGCTCAATCTCCAGCTGTTCCCCTTCCTTCCTTCCTTCCTTCCTTCCTTCCTTCCTTCCTTCCTTCTGATGTGTGAATTCGCTCCTCCTTTCTTGAGAGCAGGGATAGGAAAACCTGGAATGTGATTGACATCACATCATGTTACAGGGGAGATATAGAAGGAAAAGACACTGTGCTGCTACTCTCAGTGGTAGCCATTAATTCCTCATAAGATCCAGTTTCCAGCCCTATTGTAATTTTATTATTTGTACTCCACCCATATGACAGGGTTTCCCCAGCCACTCTGGGCAGCTTTAATTTTTCATCAGAGCCAACTTTTCAGAGGGCTTGGTTGGGATTAGCACAGTATGCAGTCAGGTGCTGTTTTGAACTACTCTGGCATTTCTCAATTGCCCGGCCTAAAGTCCCTCTTCTTCTGCAGAATTTAAGCAGAAAGAAGAAACCACAATTCGGAGCAGGAACAAGATTCAAATCAGCATCCAAGAAGATCCCTGGAACCTTCCGCTCCGCATCAAGAACCTTGTGGAGACCATACAGAAATATGTGGAAGGTCTGTGATAAGGGATGCTGGGGGGAAAGCTCTTTGGTTTATTCTAGTATTATGAAAAGGGTAGTAGAGTGACCGGAGATTTATCTGGGCTACTTTTATTGCAAATCTGGGTTTCTACCCATAGGGCTGGATCAGTTTTGCGTGGGTTCACCCTTTGTACTGACATGAGCTGAAAACATTTCTGATGAGACATAATTGGCCTGTGTTTAGCAGATGAGATTTGTTCCCTATAGGCAATCCAAGTAGAGATATTTTGATGTCCCTCAGGAGGTTGTGAACTCTCCTTCCTTGGAGGTTTTTAAGCAGAGGTTGGATGGGCATCTGTCATGAATGCCTTAGCTGAGATTCCTGCATTGCAGGGGATTGGACTAGATGACCCTTGGGATCCCTTCCAACTTATACAATTCTATGATTCTATGTATATCTGAAACTGACACACCTCATAAGTCAGACTCACAATAATTCCTTTCTTAGATTCCATCTAATTTTTCATTGGAATATGCTGCTCAAACTTGACTATGTGAATTTCCCCAGCAAAATCCTCCATCAGAAGAGGAAGTGCAAGGGCAGTTCTGGACAAGCACCCTGGCTACCGAATAATGTCATAATCCCTTGACTACATTCGTTTTTTGCTCATTGTGAAGTAAACTTGGGGAGTTCCCATGTTGAGCCATTTCCCCGACATTGAAATGGTCTGTGTTTTAGTCTGAATAAGGAGAGTAGTTCTGATCTGCTTTCATTAAGAAACACAAAGATTTCTTCAAGCTGAAGAGTTTGTTGAGTCTAGAACCCCCTTGAGGCACCCAAATGAATGTGTTGACGGCGTGAACTGTTATTGGGGGCTGGGTATGCAGACATGTCTTGCCCCCAGCATCCTGTCTTTAACACTTTATAGGCAAGAACTAGGTAAGAGACATAAATCAGAATACAGAGTAGCTTCAGGTGTGTTTGATTCCAAAATATTAGTGCAAACTGTACTTATGATGGGATGTTTAACCTTTGGACCACCAAATGTTGTTGAAGTCCAGGTCTTATCACACCCAACTTGCATGGCCAATGGTCAGGGGTATTGGGAGTTGCAGTTCAATGTCTGGAGGACCAAAGATAGGCTCCGCTGACTTAGACCATTACTTCCCCAAGTTTCTTAAATCTCCTCAAACATTAGAGTAAACAAAGGTAAAGGGACCCCTGACCATTAGGTCCAGTCATGGCCAACTCTGGGGTTGTGGTGCTCATCTCGCTTTATTGGCCGAGGGAGCTGGCATACAGCTTCCGGGTCATGTGGCCAGCATGACTAAGCCGCTTCTGGCAAACCAGAGCAGCGCACGGAAACGCCGTTTACCTTCCTGCTGGAGCGGTACCTATTTATCTACTTGCACTTTGACGTGCTTTCGAACTGCTAGGTGGGCAGGAGCAGGGACCGAGCAACGGGAGCTCACCCTGTCGTGGGCTCTGTGGTTCAATCCACAGCACCACCTGCGTCCTCATAAGGGCTTAAACAGGGGAGGGGGCTGGGGTGTACACATGCCCTGGGCCCAGTGTTCTGGCCAGAGGCTCAAGCCACTGCGTCTCTCCCAGGAGAGATGTGTGGCTCGGGCACACTGCAGGCCCCTCAGTAAGTGCCGCCTGGCCTTTTGTCACTGCCTTCAGTGGTGACAACCGGGGTGGCCCACACCCACCTCACCCCCTTCCTCCGCCCCTGGTCCTGGCACACTGATTCCACTTCACACATTGCTTAGAAGCTTCCCCACGATCAGGAACTTGTAATGCACAAAGATCTAAAGTGCCACCAGCATGCATAGGGACATTGAGGGTAGGGCTCATCGGTACAGTTTGCTACAGTATTTCAGATTTAATCAAGCACCCTTGGAGCTGCCCATGATGTCTGACTTTTGCCTCCTTCCTAGTTTGTGCACGTGAACAATTGTTTTCTTGGGGCCAGGATTTGTCAGGGCTCTAACCTGGGACTTGTTTTTGGTGCAGTTGCTGAATGCTGGAAACTTATGAAGTGATTTCAAAGAGTATGTGCAGAGCAACTTCTCCTTCCCATTAAGTAACCTTATCTAGCCCATGCATAGCTGAGAAAAAGGGGCAAGGCCTTCTAGATCAGTGGTCCCCAGACTTCCACCCTCATGGTCTGCTTGAAAATTGCTGGGAGTTTTGATGGGCCACATAAAAGTTTTTTTCCTGCCTGCTGTAGCAATTGCAATGTGCTGTGCTAAATTGCTGCATGATTTTTAATTGCATTTTCATTGCTTCTTTAATTTAGTACGTTGTATTTTATCGTATTACAATTGGAATATATGGAATTCAACAGGATTCAGTTTATAAGTGCTCTTCAATGACGAGCTGCAGACCAACTAAATGAAGCCTCAGTTTGGGAACTCCTGTTCTAGGCTAAGGGGTGCCATTCCCAAGTCTGCTTGTATTTCAACATCTCTTACAGCCGGTGTGGTGCAGTGGTTAAGAGCGATAGACTTGTAATCTGGTGAACCGGGTTCGCGTCTCCGCTCCTCCACATGCAGCTGCTGGGTGACCTTGGGCTAGTCACACTTCTCTGAAGTCTCTCAGCCCCACTCACCTCACAGAGTGTTTGTTGTGGGGAAGGAAGGGAAAGGAGAATGTTAGCCACTTTGAGACTCCATTGGGGTAGTGATAAAGCGGGATATCAAATCCAAACTCTTCTTACTGGGACTTAGCCCTTAGCTAAGTGGAATGTGATTATGCTCACTTGTTTTAAAAAAATGCTTTATCTTTGTCTTTCCTTTCTAGATGGCAAGAACCAGCTGCTTTTGGCATTGCTGAAATGTACAGGTAAAGCAGCTCCTTGATTTGCTGCTGTTTGCAAATGACCCCTTAGGTGCTATAGGGACAGGTGTGCAGAGAAAAAGTCATTAAACGTTAAACACTGTAAATTTGATAGTTATGTGGTGTTGGCAGAACAATAGTTATTATCCTTGCATATCACGGCAGTGATAACTGGACACCCTTTTATAGGCCAACAGTCCTTCCGTTCCCATGTGCTCTGTGTTGTTGTGGGAAACTGAGCATTCCTTTGGGGGAAAAACATGGATGTAGATTGGAAGCTTTCGTTGCTTGGGTTACTATGGTGCACCTTACACAGTGCACATGAAGAGAATAGGAAATATGGAACCATTGTTGGGCATTGGGCTCATGCCATGAGGCAAATGATAACTCCTGATTCCTGTGTGTTCTCCTCTCTCTCCCAGACACTGAGCTGCAGCTGAGACGAGACGCGATTTTCTGCCAGGCTCTGGTGGCTGCCATTTGCACGTTCTCCGAGCAGTTACTGGGGGCTCTCAACTACAGATACAATAACAACGGGGAGTATGAAGAGAGCAGCAGGGAAGCCAGCAAGAAATGGTTGGAGCAGATAGCGGCCACGGGGGTGTTGCTCAATTACCAGTCTTTGCTCTCCCCCTCTGTGGTAAGGGAGGACTACAGTTTGCCAGCTAAATAAATAAGGAACTTTACAGTCTTCTTCTTACCCATCTCCTGACCAGGTTGTTCTGCCTGCCCTGGTTACATTTTAAGGCTGTGAGAAATTTGAACTGCCTTTATTTGCTGTATATTATCGTTTCCTTTAAACATAAATGGGCCCTGGGAATGTTCTCTTATGCTACTGTGAAGGAGGCCCGGGCCAACTTTCGGTTCAAAATCTGTGCCAACTCGCTTTAGTGCTCCTAAGATGTGAGAAATATAATGGGCATGTACACGTCCTGTGAATTTGTTTTGACGGGTTGCATGTTGCTTATTCACGTGGTTCTTCAGAAGCCACGTGCATTCCAATCTGAGGTGGGTAGTATTGTGACAGTTTTATTTGTCCAAGGTTTGTCTGAGAGATAACCAGCTGCAAAGCAGAACAGAGTTAACTTTTATTTTTTAAACCAAAAAGAAAAAGAAAAATTACAAACATCAAATTCAAAATCCATATTTGTTTTCTAACATAAGCCTATTACATAGTTATCTAAATTAAAATATACCTAATTACTCTAGACTTCTCTTTGCTATATATAAATACAACACAATTGGAAATTTTATATTATAAATTTTATATTATAAATAATATTATCAATTCCCCTATACCCCCCACTCCCCTTCACCCTTGTGTGATCTCAATTTTTTACTTCTTCCGTCTTATTGTGTTGTTATAGTTTAATAATTGTTCAATTGATTCTTTTATTATTTCCTTGCTTACCCCTGCACGTTTTACACAGATAACTTTTAATAGTTAACAGGGAATTTTAGTAAATGCAGATCAGTGGAAGGGTGTGTGCTTTGCATGCAGAATGTTCCAGATTCAATACCTGACATTTTGAGGCAAGTCTGGAATACCTCTGTTTGAAATCTATGAGCGCCACCAGTCACATGGACCAATAATGGTCTGATTAAGAATATGTCAGTTCTTACATTCCAACCTTTTTAAAACATAAACAAAAAAAACCCCCTGCATTACATACTTCCATAATTCCCTATTCCATGAAACTATTAAAAGTACAGGAGGCCTGTTCGTCTGGCTTTGGGTCACTTCTGGGACAAAAGTAGATAGATGCGCATGGTGCGGTTAGACTAAAGTGACCCCATGTTGCAGGTAGTACTAAAAGGTGGGCCCTGCGTCTGAAAAGTTGAATACTGGTGCTGCGTAGAGAGCACTGGGCAGGAAAGGCAAAGGCGTATGGCAAATTGTGTGGGTCCCTCTGTTCCTCTGCTGGCGAGAAGCTGTATCTTTGGGTTGCATCAAATGTGTTTGCCAAGGGAGAAGGTACACATCCAAAGCAGTAAGAGGGAAGAGGGAAGCATGGTTAGGCTATATGATGGATAGGGAATGGATACTTGAAAATGATGCAAAGATATGGAAAAAATATACCGCCGCGGCTTAGTTATGACAGACTAGGTTGGCGCCCTATCCATAACGGGCCTAACATTCATGGCTTCGGACCGGACAGGAGATGGAAGCCACTCGCGCCACTGCTGAGACGGACAACAGTTTTAACGCTGTATTTTAGCCCACAGACTGCAACGCTGGTACTTCCTTGTTTGCTGGAATGTTTTTCATTTTAAAAGAACAGTGATGTAGGGAAATTAAATATGCAATGTAAAGATGGGATGAGATGCAGCTTAACCAAAATCATGTGGCAGAAAGCACCCTTTAGCTGATACTTGTGTTGCTTAAGTTTTAGGGGGGAAATCTTTCTTCTCACGATTCCTTGGGGAAAGGGGTATGTGTGTTCTTATTTGCAGTCCGTCTAACTTTCCCTATTTATTTATTTTTCTCAATCAGAAAGAGGAACGAACCATGCTGGAAGATATTCAAGCCACTTTGTCAGAGCTGGACAAAGTTGCTTTTTATTTCAGACAACTGGATGAGTGTTTCGTTGCAAGTGAGTTCATGCCTTTTATTTGTCCCTTATTTCCCCCACATCTTTGTATTTTTTCCTGCAGTGCACTGACATGTCTCCTGTGTGTCCCATTGACTTAGTCCACAAAGACTGTGGACTTGCACTAAAAACTGCAAAAGTTGCAATTTTGGCTGAAACCCAGCAAGAGCGTTGCTAATCTTTTAAATGTATTTATTATTATTATTATTAAATTTTATTAAATACAAAAAAGAAAAGAATATCAAATAAGAAAAGAAATAAAGAAACAAATTTCATACATATACACATGAACATAATTATTTATACATCTGTAAAGCAATATTCAAAAAAAGAAGGGGAAAAAAGAGAATAAAAGAAGAAAGAAAAGTTAAAAATAGAAATTTAGAGAATAGAAAAGTGTTCACCATAAACAACAATTTCAGATCTATACTTGCATACAATTTTATATTTCCATCTTGCAAAATATCAGTCTAATTAAAATGTTTTAAAAGACTTCCACCGTTTTCGCCGCACGTCTTTTATACATCACCATAACCTCTGTTCTTCATATCCTTCCTGCAAGTTTTCCTTAATTTCTCACTTTACATTCTTTATATTCCTCACAAGATTAGTCCAAACACAAACAAATTTTGGTAGTTGAGCCCTGGTTTTGTAAGTATTCATTTAGACAATCCCACTGTTTCTTGACCATGTTCTTGGGTTTTCTCTTTATTAAATCCGTCAGTTTAGCTAACTCCAGATAATCTTTTAAATGTAATTTAATTCAACTCTTTGCTTTGTTTTGTTGCTGGTTGTTTTATAACGTTGCTACTATAGTAATGAAGTAGAGCGTGAACAGGGCATGTTTTTCTCACCAGTAACCATCCCTCTCATATGAGCTGGATTAGGAGGCAAGAGTGATAAGACAGAGGATGGAACTTTCTGGAGAGCTTAGGCCACAGTACCTCTTATTGCACAGTGACAACTGGTCGTTAAAAAACAACAACAATTCTCTCTAAAAGCTCATTCAGTCTCCAACACCTGTCTTTTTGTTCCCCCAGATACACATGTCTTCTACCATGTTGAAGGCAACAGGCAGGTTTTGAAGGTTTTCTTTTACTTAGACAGCTACTACTTCTCCAAACTGCCTTCCCGGTTTCAGAATGGAGGGAGCCTGAAGCTGCATGCTGTGCTCTTCACAAAAGGTACAGGTGAAATTCTGTTTGTTCGGTTTTTTCCTTTAAGCCACTGACTATAATGCAATTGGGGTGGACGATGCTCGTAATTGAGACTTATGTGATAAAGATGAATGTTGCCCTCAGCTCTTGGCTCTTTGGCAGCTTATTAAATCTGCAAGGCAAAGTCTGAGACAGTGTAAATTAAATTTAAGGAAGCTTAAACCTAATCTGAAGCAGGTAAAATATGCCAGTTAGAAAACCATTTCACAATGCTGACAGGATGAGGGTAAGCATAGGGTCAGGCACATTGAGCTTATTTTGTAATCTGCACATATGCATGGGCCTTCCATGTTATTGGACTCTCAGTCTCAGCACACCATCTGTGAAATGGGTGCAATAGCAACATGCCTCATGGGGCCATGGTGAGGGAGAATAAAGATCAGGATTGTAAACCACTTAGCATTCTAAGAAGTCTAGTGTACTTTCACATTGTATAATAGTGGTGGTGACAGAAGAAATAACAGAAACGGGTGAGCTTTATAATGAATACATGATGTTTTTCATGAAAATCATTACAGCCCTTGAAAATCTGGAAGGCCAGTCCCAGCCAAATGGTTCCTCTCTAGAAGAGCTCCAGCAGCAAATTAATTCCACCTCTCTTGAGAAGGTGCAGCAGTATTATCGCAAACTCAGGTATTGTGGCATAAAAAGAATGTTGTTTGTACTCAACATTATTATTGTTATTAAGATTTTATCAGTCTGGGTGGTTCTTTACATGGTAGCATACATGGAGGCCAGTCCCTGCCCCAGGGTGCTTGCCATCTGAGCCTGTTCATTTGAGAGAAAATCCATACATTTGAATTGAGATTTTCTTAATTCAAGTTTTGTTTGGGTGTTAAATAAGAGAACCTTTTAAATGTACATAGTACAAAAAGAAAGAGAGAAAGCAATTGGAGACGGGATGCAAATGTTCTAGTAACTGATTCTGGTTTCATATGCTGGTTTGTAAACAGCACTTTAAACCATCATTTCTGAATTTGGATGGCATGCCATAGTATGGATTAACAAGGCCAGGATATAAGCATGAAAGCCAGATGGCGGAAGGGAGAATTAAAAGTGAGGGCAAAGCTCATTCTCAGGCCGATAAAACATGATTTATTGGTCCCAAGATTGTAATGTGCGAATGGGGTCATAGTTGTTTACCTGACATTTTGTGTGGGGAAACCCTACACCATGAACCCTTTAAAAGAGTAGGAGAAGCCAGTAACAGCTTCTGACTATGAGCCGGACCATGTTTAATGGAAGTAAAGAGTCTTATAATTCTGGCACCATTCCTTGGGCCACAGAAACATATTTGATAGGCCACATCTAGCCTTCCATTGACTTGTTCCTCAGCCATGCCCCTTAGGAAGAAACGCCTTATAGGAATGCTTGAAACTAGATGACCACAACCTAATACAGCTTGTTTCTTACTTTCAGGACATTTTACCTTGAGAGATCCAACCTGCCTACAGATTCCAACACCACAGCTGTGAAGATTGATCAGGTACAGAAACCACACTTCTTGGCATATGTGCAGTAAGTGCAAACTTCCAAACCGAGCTGAGGTCAGGAGCAACCAGTGCTCCTTATTTCTAGGAGAAGCTGGCTGTGCACAGCACTGGTTGGCCGGCCCATCTGGCAGTCACAAAGCCACTTCTCTCTTGGCTGCCTATCCTTCTGTGTAGAGTTGGGGTGAGCAGGCTGCAGGAGTATGGGATCGGCTAGGTTTTTTACTAGAACCGTGAGATTCAATATGCTTGCCTGGAGCATGGAGAAGGGTCATAGGAATCCACATTGGAGTCAGAGCCTGGAATATATATGATGGTAGAGGAGCAAGGACAGAGGGAAGCAGACTTCACATGGCAAAAGCCACACCTGGCGGAGATCCATCTGCCTTAGGCAGCCCTAAATCTAATATGAACCCCATTAGTTCATATCTGCAGTTTCTCAAACGTCCTCTGGACCTCTTCACACATTTAAGTGCTTCAAGTGTACATTTAAAAAGGTAAATTTGACAAACGAACAGTAGCCACAGATCCCTATTGAGTGTAGACTCAATTGCCAGTCTAGGTTTGTTGCAGTGCCTGTGTAAAATGCCGCCCTGAGTCCCCATTAACCCATTTATAAGGAGCAAACTATAATTAGTTAAGACTGCCATGTTTGGACTTCCCCACGTAACTTTCTGTGAAAGAACCTACAAGACCCTTGCTGCAGCCCCAATCTAGATTTCCGCCTGAAGCTACTAATAGCTATGGGAAATAAAGCTTACAGGCTTAACATTTTAAGCTTGTAAATTTTCCCTTATGTCTCTAATAATGTAAACAAGGGGTATAATGGTTTTTTTAAAAATAGTTTTTGATAAAAGTATTTTTTTGTCACAAAATGAACAAATGAACAAGGAAAAGTATATATAGCGTCTGATGTTGCACAAGGAAAGATTTAGACACCATCTTCAACTCACCCCCATGCTCTGGCCCTGATATAGTTGCTTTTACAAAAAAGAAAACTATTCTGGGAGTGCCAGTGTAATGTATAGTTTGGCCTTAAATCCCCTGTGGCAAACAACAATTTCGACTTACCATTTTGGAAGCTGCTCTGATGAATGGTTGTTGGCATAAGCATTTAGACTGGGTATAACTGAGGGCAGGGGAGCCTGTAGGTACTGATGCTTCACTGTTGCATTCTTCCTTTGTGTTCTTTTGTAGCTTATCCGTCCCATCAATGCAATGGATGAGCTTTGCAGACTAATGAAATCTTTTGTCAGCGCAAAAGGCAGCCAGTCGGGATATTCCAGTAGTTACGTGGCAGGGGCTGGACTGCTGCCTATATCCTCTGAACTCTGTTATCGCCTCGGAGCCTGCCAGATTGTAATGTGCGGCACTGGAATGCAAAGGTGAGAGCTTTTAAATCAAAACAAATGTTGTGCTCCTCTGGAATGAACATTTTTTGAAAGTGACCTACTGGTAGATCCCTGGGCTCTGCCATTGCAAGTGGGGATTTACATGACTGAATGCTTCGTCATTCAAAAATAGAAACAATCCCTCTGCATATAAAACTTGGATGTCAGGGAGAATATAGCATCCCGTTTTCTGTGTTGTTTGCGCATGGAGAAATCATGTGAGTCACCATCTACAGACACATGTTTCAGCACTGGACCTAAGTTATTTAGGTTCATTTTCTGCTTGTCAGAGGAGGTTACTCTGGAATAAATTAGTTTATACCTTCACCTTTGGCTTGCTTGAACTTTGAATGCATGGAGTCCCTTTAACATACTTACATGATTATTTGTTTCCACTACTTTACCTTTCGCTTGACTTGTCCAGAGTTCCACATTTTTGTTTCTGTTTTGCAAGCAAAGTTAAAACGCTCACCATGAAAACTATCATGAAAACAGGATTAAAAACAGTAATGATAAACTGTAAAGCTTTTAAACCAATGCAGTATTCAACTGGAACTCAGAGAAAGCAAGACCTTTGAAATGAAAGAACAGTTTTGAAAATTGGTTTTGCTGGTGGGTGGGGGTGGATGGAACCAACAACCTCAGATGGAACAATCCAAAGGGACAGGGAGGAATGAGGTGCAGCCGGTTGTCCTTTGAAAATAAACTACACCAGCTACAGGGCTTGCATAGCTTTTCTCCCACACTCAGGAAGAACAGGGAGCTGTTGAAACCTGCAGATCCACAGCCCATCCTGACATGCCTCCTTTTTGTTCTGTCTGACATCAGAGTGGAGAGTGGAGATGTCCTGGATGTAGAAGAGGGTTTGTAGGTAGGCGCCTTGCAAGGTCAAATCTCCCTGTCTGAGAGTGGACCTTTCCATCCACCCTCAGATAGGGGGATCCAAAAGTCTTGTGGCCCAGGGACCATAGGATCACCTCTTTATACAAATAAAGTGACATTCTTTATGTTCTGTTTTTAGGAGTACGCTGAGCGTGTCCTTGGAACAAGCAGCTATATTGGCTCGAAGTCACGGACTCCTGCCTAAGTGTATCATGCAGGCAACAGACATCATGAGAAAACAAGTAAGACTTTATGAAGGGTTGAATGCAAAAAAAGAAAACAGAAGCTGCAAATATTTCAAACGGGGCATAGGGGCAAAGGACGTAGATTGTGTCACATGCAGAATGTCAGTATGTTCCATTATATTAATGGTATCCAAAAACAGGCATAATAGAAAAATAAGCCCATTGCAAATATTTATGCTTAAAGGGGCAGTGGTCCATACCACATTTGTACTCAACGTCCTGTGCATGGTGTCCATATTCTTGTTTTCATTCTGTTTAATAATACTAATAATAATAATAAAAAGAAAGAAAAATAAATACCCCGCCACTCTGGGCGGCTTACAGCATATATATTGTGATAATCTTACAGTGTTGGGCTGGAGCAGTTGCAGAGTGCTTTGGGAATCCTTTCATCTTAAGTAACCACAGATGACTAATGGACTACCTTGGTGCTTTCCAAAGCTAGTAGCTGAAGCTAAAGTGCTTTCAAAGAAAAGTAATATATTTGTCTTTCAGGGTTTTTCTCCAGGGCTGCACTCTCTCGCTCGTACTGCCAACACACCACCTAATGTTTTGTGTTTCTTTAGGGACCAAGAGTTGAAATCTCTGCAAAAAATCTGAAAGTGATGGATCAGATGCCACAGTCTGCACCCCGGTAGGTGACTCTATACAGCAAGGATTTCACCTGAAGAAATGCATCTTCAGATTTTTGTGTATATACACACATCTGATTCTGTGATATTAGGGAAAGGGGAAACGTTCATTCAGTTCCCTTTTTACGGCAGGCGAACCCCAACAAATACTCCCAGACTTGGCTGTGGATCAAAATACAAATCCCAGTTGGATTCCTCTTCCATATTTTGCTGTGTAGTTTCAGTGCAAAAAAAAAAAAAAGTATTTTTCATTAAGAAGCACACAAAATGTGTGCTTTACAAATGAATGCATTGAAAAATGTGCTTCTTACATAGAGATATGTACAAAATGCATGCAGCTTAAATGAAGGGCTTTGTACTTTAAAAGGAAGGAAGGAAGGAAGGAAGGAAGGAAGGAAGGAAGGAAGGAAGGAAGGAAGGAAAGAAAGAAAGAAAGAAAGAAAGAAAGAAAGAAAGAAAGAAAGAAAGAAAGAAAAGAAAAGTGCAGAAACCAGGAAGGAATGGATCTCTGAGTTGAACACAAGTGACATGGAATGTTGCAACTCAGTCCATCCCTAATATTACATAGGCATTTAACACTGCTCCAATCTAGTGTATACTGTGCTTTACAGATTGCAGCAGGGTTTTTTATAGCTGTTCTTCAAGTCATCTTACACTCCTCCTAGCCCTTTTGGGTAGTTCCAGGGCTTGTTTTCAGGCAGAACTCAGTTCTGGCCCCTCTGTTTCTAGAAAAATAGCAACGGGTAGCTCCATTTTGTATAAAATAAATTTGTGATGGTTATCTTGCGGCTGTCAGGGCATTGTCAGCTGCCTGAGGAATGGCGAGATGCTACAGTAGCAGAACTGACAACTGATAAGCAAAGATAATTCATAAGCTAATGCTTTGGCTATGGGCTACAGCAAGTTTTAAAAAGCAGTCTGATCATTAAAATGATTTATGCCAAAATGCGTTTTAAGAAGTAAGAAGCACATGGATTTTGGACTTAGAGATGTTGAAGCGCTGAAGGAAGGTTACCCAAAACAATATCAGAGGACTGAAGAATGGTTTATCCAAAGCCCACCACTCATGGCTTACAAACCCAGGGGATCTGGAGTGGAGAGGCTTGCCTGTCATACTCTTCCTGTCACCAGTCCCATCCTCCTCTTTGTGTTGGCAGTGTCACTGTTGCCCTTAGATGGAAATCACTTGAAATTATTTAAACTAGTTTTGCTGCACAGTCATACCTTGGATCCCAAACGCCTTGGTACTCGGACGTTTTGGCTCCCGAATTCCACAAACCCAGAAGTTTGCAAACATTATTTGGAAGCCGAACATCCAACGGAGCTTCTGCGGCCTTCTGATTGGCTGCAGGAGCTTCCTGCAGCCAATCAGAAGCCGCGCTTAGGTTTCCGAAGTCAAATGGACTTGCGGAACTGATTCCGTTCGACTTCCAAGGTATGACTGTATTCCACTGGCCATTAGTGTCCCTTTTGTAACATCAACTTTTTTTTTATGTCACGCCTTTACAGAATCTACAAGTTGTGTCAACCCCCTGCAGATGGAGATTTATAGAAGTGAAGGAAACTCCCATGTCCTGGAATCACAGAAGCGTTCAGCAGAGAGCGATGCTTCCTGAGCACTGATCCTACCTTTTGCCCATGGTGCTGAGTCCAGAAGAGAGAGGAGGGTTGTGGGTTCTGTGCTTCTAGGCAGTCTGGTGCACTAAAACTGCCTTTCCACGCATCTCCTGCCTTTTTATATAGGCAGCCCTGGTTACCCTGTTTTGCGGTTGGTTGGTTGGTTGGTTGGTTGGTGCAGGAGTTCTGAAACTGAGGAATGACTTCTGCCCAGTACCAGGAAGGATATCACAGGAGGACAAAACCCTGCGATAAGGAATTGATTGCGGTGCTGACTGGACATTGTGGACTTAGCAAATCTAAGTGAAGCACATCATCTACCTGTCATGCTGTTTTAGACTCTCATCCAGTTTCCTGCACAGTGTTGGCTAGTGGCCTTGAATAAGAGCCTGACAAACACTCTTTTTAAAAAGAAAAACACACCAACTTGCACTTTGAAATTGTGAATAGCACACATCTCTGGTTTGTTCAAAGGATTTCTCCTGGAGCCATTTTCCACTTCAGCCCAGTATGAACCAGACTCTACTCCGCAGAGTGCACATTCCATAGGACTTTCTACGAGAATTTCCTTTTAACTTTTACTGTAAAGTTCAGGGTTTGCAATTAACACTTTTTACTAATGGTCCATTATGTATTCTGGAAATACAACAATATTTTACAAGGGAGATTTAGCAATGAAGGATTCTTTCTGAAATGGAAAGATATGATGAAAGGGGAAGCAACCACAGCTCTGTTTTCCAGTAATTTGAACAGCTGAGCATTTTTGAAGCAAGGACAAAACTATACTTATTTATGTGGAATAGAGTATCTGTTTTGGAACTATTTCCTTATATACAAGGTTTAAATTTAAGAAGTATTTGTTTCAAATGGGGCCAATAATGCTGGCAGATACGTAGTAGATCTCAGTTCACTGAAAATATTGTTACGTTATTTAAAACCTTGCAGTATTTAAGTAGTCTTTAATACATTTTTTTAAAGAAAAGAAAAGAAAATAGATTACAGTGGGTTGTAAGTTAAAATGAAATCATGGTTGTGTATATAATGTACTTTATTTTTCCCTGTTTTAGAATTGTTTTCTGTTTGATCAGTATTATCATTAGCAGAGTAATTTGCTTCCAAATTACTTGCCACAATGTAATGAAAAATATCAGCAATCTCAGGCCAGAAGTAACATTATTTTGGAGTGAGTGCCTTAAATGAATCATCCATGTTGACCCAGATACAAAAAAATTAAGGGGCATAAAGACAAAACTAACATTCTTCTATATCATAATAGACTAAAAAGCCATAGTCTCCTCTGAAATGCTTTTCGTTGGGCATGCATGGAAGTTCCTTAGAGTGGCTTCTGTTTCTAGCACACAGAACAGGGATATTTTGATTTTGGCTTAAAATAGGGCATTTAATAAACTCCAATGTTTCCTAACAGTCCAATCCTTCATTTATTGTGTTACATTGAAAACTGTATGTTCCTACTCTGGTTGAGGAAGGCATTTAAAGCAACAACAGCAGCAGCAGCAGCCTTTAGTTTTAAATGATGGAGAATGGTTACTGGGAAAAATGAACATTCAACAATAAATGAGCCTGAGACCCTGGCTTATTCCGGCAATCTTATTGATTCCAAATAGTACAGTACATCAAAAATAAAATAAAAAGGACTGGAGTGGAGTCAGCAACCACCAGGTGGCAGCCATAGGCTTGCCAGTGGAAATTTCTGCACAACTCTCCTAGCTTAACAAATTTCTGCACAACTCTCCTGAATTAACAAATATATTTAGCAACCTACTGTTTGAGGCCCAGCTAAAACTAGTAGAATTATATGCTGCATTCCCCCAGCAAATGTACCCATCCTGCTTGTCACATCTTGGACGCTACAGCTTAAAAACTGTGGTTTAAAATAGCTTCAGTAGCAGGAGAACAAATGTAATAGAGAAGATTTCACAAGGAGCGTGTATTTAGGTGCAAAGCGGAGATGGAGGCTGCTGTGAATGCTGGGATGGGAAGAAGCATGATCTGAATCAGAGATTTTCATCCATCTTCAATATTGCTTTGTTGTTGTTGTTTAGTCATTTAGTCATGTCCGACTCTTCGTGACCCCATGGACCAGAGCACGCCAGCACTCCTGTCTTCTACTGCCTCCCGCAGTTTGGTCAAACTCATGTTCGAGAACACTGTCCAACCATCTCTTCCTCTGTCGTCCCCTTCTCCTTGTGCCCTCCATCTTTCCCAACATCAGGGTCTTTTCCAGGGAGTCTTCTCTTCTCATGAGGTGGCCAAAGTATTGGAGCCTCAGCTTCAGGATCTGTCCTTCCAGTGAGCACCATTAATTGACCTCAGCTCTTTCCATTTCATTTAGACCTCTGTGAAGACTTGAGTCATATGTTTAAGTTCAGGATCTTGTTTTCAATCCGTGGTGATGGTTTGTCACATCAAGCATAGTTTGTCATGTTTCTCAGCGACTAGACCCATTTCTGATGCTCTTTGTTACGATTAAAAGCAAATACTCCAAGATGGGCTCCTAGATGCAGCACTGCTGTTGCATCTCCCAAGAAAACAAGTTCTGCCTCTCCTTAACCCTATGCAATCGTTCTTTGATCCAATGCCAGTTCAAGACATAGGAGCCAACTCCTAGGGGCTGTGCGGGCTTTGGCCCCCACAATAAAATATTTGTAAAGCTGATGGGCATTCCTATTCAATTGGGGTGTGTGCACTGCATCATGTGATCGATTATGAGGAGCAGGGCTTACCTGGGTCCCTGCAATATTTTATTGTCACCACTGGTTCAAGGTGTGTTTTTCTTTTTGTGTGGGGGGGCGGGCGGGGAGACCTCTTGGTCAAAACGCTCGTGGGACCCCACCCTCGCCGCCAGTGTTGCTGCCTGTCTGTTTGCTAATAAGCGCCACATCTTGGAGAGTAAGGACAAGGTATGTAAAAGGGCCACACTCATCTTTGTTCCTTTCAGTGTTTGTTTACTCAGGGCGCAGGTGAACTGGCAGCAAGAGTGAAGCACGGAGGAAGCTGCCTTGTATTGAATCATGCTTAGCAATGTCTGCACTAACTAGCAGTGACTCTCCAGAATTTCAATCAGAGATCTCTTCCAGTCCTACCTAGAAATGACACGGATGAAGCCTGTTATTCCAGTGAGAAGGAGGAGCAGAGAGGGTCAGGGAAGCTCCAGGGATTGGCACTGAGTCCCTAACTGGTCTTGACAGAGTCCCAACTATGCCAACTCCTGACACCAACATTACTTTGGCCCCTCAAGAAGTACAGAAATAATGGAAGACTTCACACGCAGCCACTCTCACAATAAGCTACATGGGAAATGGATGAAACCCTTTTCTTTACATCTCAAGCCTGGTGTTCCCCTGCTATCAAAAAGCAGTTCCCATATAATAATCCACTTTAGGATTGCTGGCCTTTTCACATTTTCACTCCCTTATTCTTCTACGAGCATGATGAGAGAACAAAAACTAGTCCTGCCAAAACCTCTGTGTGGAAAAGAATGATATGCTGGAGGCAAGAAAAAATCACATTAGGAAAAGAATTGCCAACCCAACAGAAAAGTTATCAGTGATTGAATGCAGATTGGGTGCATTAAAAATCAGCTCTGCTTCAGCAGCTCAATGGGCCTTCAACATCTCACTGTGTGAGATCTGGCATTTGGTTCAGAAGCTGTATTACTGAGATTTAAAGCTTTATTTTGAAAAGCCCTTCTCACCAGATCTGCAAGTATCCTTATCACTCACTGCAGGAGAGCTACATTGAAAATCTACAGCTATTTGCCTAGATCAGGGGGCTGTGTGCAATTATATACACACCTTGTACATTACTCTTGCACATTATGTCATCCCCATTCAGCTCAATGGAGAAAACTGCAGTGGCACAGGGCTACTTAAAAGTGAGTCCCATTGAGCTTAGTGGTAAGTAAGTATAGGATTGCAGCTTTAAGCATAAATGTACAGTAAGTTTCAACCCCCAATTTAAGCAAAACTTACCCATCTATTAGGTAAAGGTAAAGGTACCCCTGCCCATACGGGCCAGTCTTGCCAGACTCTAGGGTTGTGCGCTCATCTCACTCTAGAGGCCATGAGCCAGCGCTGTCCACAGACACTTCCGGGTCACGTGGCCAGCGTGACAAGCTGCATCTGGCGAGCCAGCTCAGCACACGGAACGCCGTTTACCTTCCCGCTGGTAAGCGGTCCCTATTTATCTACTTGCACCCGGGGGTGCTTTCGAACTGCTAGGTTGGCAGGCGCTGGGACCGAATGACGGGAGCGCACCCCGCTGCGGGGATTCGAACCGCCGACTATGCGATCAGCAAGTCCTAGGCGCTGAGATTTTACCCACAGCGCCACCCACCCATCTATTAAAATGTATTAATTTAATAATTAAATGCTAATGGCATCACCGAGCCAAGGCGAATTAAACATCTGATTTAAAGAAGCAAACACAATTTCCGCTCTCAGAAATGTAGTTCTACACCAGGCATTTAATTCTATGCTTGGTTTGGATATTTTCATCATTGTTGTAATAAGCAGAGCTGAGGAGAACATTTTTTGACCATTAAACAACAGTCTGCATCCTCTTGCCAGGTTGTTCTTTGTTTGTTGCCTGCCCTTCACCCTCAGGTCTCAGGATGAGTTACAACATCAAAACACAATATTAAAAAGTTTAAAACTATTTTCAATCACAAAAATAAGGTGAGTCCTAAAAAATGTACTCCTCAGGTGTCAAAAGACACCGCAGTTCACTCAGGACAGTTGCTTCCCACCTGTGCAGAGGTATTTGAAATGAAGAAATATGTGCAGATCCCTATAAATGTTTGATTTTCAGAAAAAATAAGTGTGTAAGTCAATGCTTGGATGATTTCTGGACGCCACTTAAAACGAAGCTTACTTTAGATGCACTCTGAGGCCTTTGAGCAGAGGGAATCAGAATTATTTCATTAGTTTCAAATTACTTACATGACATCTCCAGTAATTGCTATTTTGATAGTTAAAAAAACCCAACAGTTTGATGTGGCTATATATCACTTGCCAGATGTAGATATTAAAACAGTATGTACAGGGTACGTTAATTTACTTCAGCTGCGAGAAGCTCTCCCAGCCTGATTCCTGTTGGGAAACAAACACAGTTTGTGGCAGAGGGTGGCTTCTGTCTGTGTGGGAACCTCTGAGCTGTCACAAGCCATTTGCTTGTGAAGGGTTGGCACCCCCCACAACATCTTCCTTCCATCACCAAACCAGATGTGTGGGGCATTGTAGCTTTAAAGAGCTGTTGCTTGGCCCCAAAACATGGTGTTGCAGAAGCAGAATGAGGGCTGTGGGAAGGGTAACTCACTCTGTTTTCCATTAGTTATCCTCACACCCTGTTTTCCATTACTTAACCGCAACTTTTTAAAGGGTGTGCAAAGAGAAAGAAAGATGCCCTTGTCGTCATAATGGGGATGTTGTCCCCAAATTCATGAAGGCTAAGGCTGTCAGTGTCTACAATTCCTTCCAGTAGCACCTTAAAGACCAACTAAGTTAGTTCTTGGTATGAGCTTTCGTGTGCATGCACACTTCTTCAGATACACTGCAGATACACCAGTGTATTTTTTTGGGTTATGCACCCGCCGAAACCCGGAAGTACCGGAACGGGTTACTTCCAGGTTTCGGCAGTCGTGCATGCGCAGAAGTGCTAAATTGTGCTTTGCGCATGTGCAGAAGCGCCAAATCACAACCTGTGCATGCACATACGCACTGCTGTGGGTTGCGAACGCTGCGGGTTGCGAACGTGCATCCCGCACGGATCACGTTCGCAACCCGAGCGTCCACTGTAATTTATTATTTATACCCCACCCATCTGGCTGGATTTCCCCAGCCACTCTGGGCAGCTCCCAACAGAATATTACAAACATGATAAAACATCAAACATTAAAAACGGAGTTGCCTTCAGATGTCTTCTAAAAGTCAGATAGTTGTTTGTTTCCTTGACATCTGATGGGAGGGCGTTCCACAGGGAGGGTGCCACGACCAAGGAGGCCCTAGCCACAATGGCTACGCTCCGCCTCTGGTCAGAGGCAGCAATGCTTCTAAATATCATTTGCTGGACTCTGAAGGAGGGGAGGGTGCTCTTGTGCTTGGGTCCTACCTTAGGGTTTTCCATTGGCATCTGCTTGGCAGCTTTGAGTACAGGATGTTGGGCCATGGGCCTGATCCAGCAAGGTCTTCTTATCCTCTTATTGCACTGTGGGATACAGTGTTTGGATTTCATGGCTTCCTTAGCACCCCACATGCTATTATTGCCCCAAGGAACCCCTTGGATTCCTCATCCAGCTTTTTCACTCAAGGAAGTGTTACATTGTTCAAGCAAAGATGGAAGGACAGTGTGTGGGTCTCTTCCTGGAAAGGTCTCTCAGACATTATGCACAAATACCCCATGTTAAGATGCTTTTTTGAAAAGCCTAACCATGATAGATTCACATATGAGTAACTCAATACTAATTTCAATACCTACTTCCAGTGCTTTTTTCCCTAAAAAATGTTTAGGGATACTGTCAGGGGTTCAGAGACAGAGGCACAGGTGAGGGGGGGGGAGACGGAGAGCGATGAGGAAGAATCCCAGGACAGTGAGGAAGAGGATGACAATGATTTGAGGTCTTCCATGAGTCTCTCAAGTGAATCGGAGGATTCCCAGGAGGGGGCGCCCCTAGTCAGGACAAGGGGGGTCACAGGGGGGACCTGCCAGGAGCAGGGAAGCAGCAGGGAAACCCCGAGTGGGAGTGGGAGATCGGGGCCGGCTTCCCAGCAGGAACGAAGTGAAGAGAGGGGAGTTCCCAGTGTGACACACGGAGCGGAGCAGGAAAGAGACAGGGGAAGGAGATCGGGGCAGGACGTCCTGCCGGAAGAGGCGGAGAGTAGTACAGGGAGTAGTGTAAGTGTCAAGAGGAAGGTCAGGGGTAGCGAACGCGCGCCAAGTTCAAATGTGGAGGCGCGCGGAAATGGAGGAAGCCCGGAGGAGGAGCCTAGCCCCAAAGCACGAAGGAGGGGGGGACAGGCATCTGAGGAATCCGCTTCAGGAGACAGCAGGAGGGAAGGAACCCAGGGGGGCAGGAAGACCCTGCGGAAAAGGAAAGACAGGAAGAGGTGGTCTAGCACAAGCCTCTTAAGCTGGTGTAGAGGCGCGGACCGACTCCAAGAGG